TCCATAGGTTCCATAGCTTTGTTTCCCATATGCCTGAGTGGTCTGTGCATATCATTGAGTTGGCTGGGCTGTGTAAGCACTGTAGCCCTGCTGGGCTGCAGCTTGGCTGTAGGTACTGTAATCTGTGGACGCCATTTTCTCTCCTTCCTCCTCGTTCTCTCCCCCTCGACAACATTCTGACCCTGTTCTTGAAACTTGCTTAGAAGAGAACACAAGTGTGATAGCTTCACTACTGATCAGGAATCTGCTCTTGTTCATGTCCCAGGTGACGCTTTCGACCCTCAGAGTGCTAAGGAGTATTTCAGTGCTACCAATCCAGCTGAATACACCCACTATGAAACTCTCTCCAAGGTTCTGCCACTTTGGGAAGTTACAATGACACTGCTGATGGTAACCACCGGAATATTGTTTCTGAAATTTGTATCAACAGTGATGATGTGGGTATTCAACCTAATTTAACATGTGACATGCATTAAAATGAGTTTAACAAGGTAAGTTAGACCACAGCGGTGGTTTAAAATAGATGATGATTTATGCACTAGAAATCCAATTCTCTTTGGCACCAATACATATCATAACTAAATTTTGTGCTGTATATATAGGACTCTTTAGCCATTACCTAAAACTAGAAAAATGCTTCTCTTTTCCAATCATATTGAAAATACATCTAACATGAAGCTTGTGTTGTCTGAATGGCTAAGCAGAGAAATGTAACTGTTAGATATTAGTTTCTATTTTTCTCTGTCCATAAACTGTGACTTATGTGGATAGCATCATTTTGGAAATAAACACCCCCAAAGAAGCAACATGTGAGAATAAAACCAATGAAATAAGGCTCCACATTGTCACCACTTCTCAAATACAATGACATTCCTTGTGACATGACACTACATAAGATTCTACTGATGATGCCTCTGTTACTGCTCATCCTGACGCTGCCACCAATGATGTTCTTGATACTACTGATAATTCTTGCTTTTCTTTTTAGTTGCTGCTGAAGCCTATGAGGAGCTACTGAAAACAATGACAATTTCAGGAATATTTTAGAAAATTTATAAAGTTTAATGTTAAATATTTCTTGACACCATATATATTGATTTCAGTATATAATATTTTTTCATTAAAATATGTTTTAAAAATATTTTAAACTGTTTCTTGGTATTGTACAAACTGTTGACATGATGTCTTGGTGACATGTTTAAGGAGAAAGCTTCTATAATACCTATCAGAGATAGAACAGATAGTGGCATATCAAATCAGACACACCTGACTATGAAAGAAGAAAAAGCAGAGAGGCAGAGGGAGAGAGACATGTTCCCTGTCTTCCCTTCTTTGTCTGTTGCATGAATCTAAATCTGTACCTTTCTGAAGAAGTCTGTCTGTCCCTGTGCTTGTTTTTTTTTTTTTGTCTGAGTCTATGTCTGTCCCTACATCTGTCCTTGTGTGTAAATGTGTGTGTCTGCCCCTTTTGTTGCTCACTCTTTTATTGAATTTCCCCATAAGAATCACCTGGGGAAGGAGTGGGATACTTTACAGAATCATTTGTGGAGTCTTACAAGGGATGAAGGTAATAACTGCAACTGATCCCAACTCACCCAGACAACAAAAAACATTACAAACACCATGTTTGCCCAGTAATGCTGCTGTGTTCAACTGTTTTGGTGGATATTCATTTAAGAGTGTTTTCAACCTCTATGTTTGCTGTTTTATACAAATGATACACATTTGTTCTGGATCGGGGGCACAGAAGAAAATAAGATTAGTTAAGTATTAGTTTAGTTTGTAAAAGTGGCTATGCAGGAAGACCAAGGAAAGTAGTGGTAATTGTTACATTGTTCTCTTAAAAGTGGGTTAACAATCAGTTTGAGTACACAGTAAGATAGCAGCCTTATATCTTAAATGACCTCAAAGCATGTTATGAACTCTGGCTGTGATGTCAAGCAAAGGTTCCAGTCTCTAGAATCAGAGAGATTTCCATATTACATCACCATGGCCTTAGTCATTGGGCTCTGAACCAGGTTTACAGGACCAGCCAAGAGTTCCCTGCTGTGTGGTAGACCTAAAATCAAATCACAAAATTTATTGTTCCTATAAAAGTCAACACACTATCACACGGAGAATATCTTCCCAGGCAAGTTGTCACATGCAGGGTCTACAAAGAATCATCGCCAACTTTCCTCATCCAGTAGCTTGCATAGAAACTTCTAGTACTGTGGAAGCTATCCAGCACAGATGCAACATGACCTTATGTCCTATATCCCAAGTGTATAGTGTGTTAAGAATCATCCACCAATCTAATTCTCGTGTGTAAATGAGGACATTGGTAGCAGCCTGTAATGTTTGACAGGAGCCCCCTTACTTCACAGCTCAGAAGGAACTATCTCACAGTATTGGAACCTTTGTTTAGTCAACTTAATCTTTGGGAGGAACGTTACCCCTGCATGCAGGGCTCCTTCATTCAGTTGTTTTACTTAGGCTTCCAAGGATGCAACTCCATTCGTTAGGCTTGGTGGCAAACCACGGTACATGTGTAGAGGTCAGAGCATCATTTTCTGGATCACACTCTTACCTCTACCATGTGGTTTCCCAACATCACACTCAACAGCATATGGCTGGCATCAAGCACCTTCACATGCTAAACTATTTAACCAGCCCCTCAAATGGTTTTAAAGGACTTCAAATGTAGTATTTTTCCAAAAGGATTTTTTCCTCCATGCTTAATTTTGGTTAACCCTTTCCCCACCACCACAGTTCTCCCATCGCTGATGAAAACTTTCCACTTGCAAGGTTTCTTTACCCTTCCACAGTGCATTTCCTCTGCCATCCCACTTCCCTCCAGGCCTGTTCTCCTCTATGATCCATTTCATGCTTTGAGTTTTACAGGCATTCCAAATTAAAAACATTTATCTGAAAATTCAAAGCTTGGAACCACATGTAAGATAAATAATTCAATTAAAAATGGGGTACAGGGGCTGGAAAGATGGCTCAGTGGTTAAGAGCGCTACCTGCTCTTCCAAAGGTCCTGAGTTCAATTCCCGGCAACCACATGGTGGCTCACAACCATCTGTAATGAGGTCTGGTGTCCTCTTCTGGCCTGCAGACATACACACAGACAGAATATTGTATACATAATAAATAAATAAATATTTTTTAAAAAATGGGGTACAGAACCACACAGAATTCTCAGAAGAATCTCAAATGGCTGTAAGACATTTAAGGAAAGGTTCAACATTCTTAGCCATCAGAGAAATGCAAATCAAAACAACTCTGAGATACCATCTTACACTTGTAAGAATGGCTAAGATCAAACACATTAATGATAGATTATGTTGGAGAGGATGTGGAGTTAGGGGAATACTACTCCATTGATGGTGGGAACAAAAACCTGTACAACCACTTTGGAATTCAGTATGGTGGTTTATCAGAAAATTGGGAATCAACATACCTCAAGACCCAACAAGACCACTCTTGGGCATATACCCAAAGAATACTCAACCATACTATGTATGTTCACAGATACATACTCCAGTGTGTATCTGTGAACATTCATGCCCCTACAGACATCCTTGTGACCATATGACTGGCTAGCAGTGACAGCTCATTGTCACTTCTCAGTATCATCAGACTCCAAGAGACTAGCATACTGTGTATTGCTGGCCTAGGAATAGATGAAGTTCAAAGTGCAGTTTCCCTGGGATAGTTGTCACTTTTTCAACCCTGTAAAGTCAAAAAATCACCAGCCAGGGTACTGAATTTTAGGGCATCAAAAAAAAAAAAAATAACCCTTAATGCTAGCTCATGGAAAACTGGATTTTTGTAATACATTTGAACACAAACAGAATACATTGAAAGATATTCTGTAAAAGCATTATGTGTATAGTTAGCCATGACCAAAAATAAATCCTGAAACAGAGTTTGAAAAAAAAAAATCACACTATTAAAAAAAACGTAGTACATACAATTTTGGAAAATCTTTGTTAAATTGAACCATCAGAACTTCTGCCTGATTTTCAATATCTAACTTTATATCTACATCAAACAAGACTTTGAATATGAGAAATGAGTTAGTCTTTTAATCCTTCTAATGAAGTCCACCTTCATCATGCTCGTTTTGAGAGTCTATTAGAGGTGGGTCCAGATGATCTAATCAAGCACAGGTTGCTGGCAGGAGGTGAAGTTCTGCCTCCTGTAGAAATCAGCCTGTGCTGCCTATTCTGACAGTAACACCCTAATACCTCCCTCTCAAGGCTAATTTCCAGTCTCTCAGACAAATGTCTTGATGATGTTTGATTTTTCTTGACTCAAGGTTTAGATAAAGCTATTGTAAAAACTCACAAGGCAGGACTCCAAGGTCTTTATTTTATCAATGCTCTAAAAATACATCCTGGTATTAAGAAGGAAAAGTAGTGTACGTATGAATAGAATATTATTGGCTATTACTGATTCATAGAAACAAACCTGCCCTCTTATTCTAGAGCTGAGTGAAGTCTGACTGTTCTATTTAGCATTAGACAACTGAAATGTACCCCTGTCTCTACAGATGTTGCTGTATGAATGCTCCTTTCAGGTCTCCTTATTAATATTCTGAGTGCAGTACAATATTTCTAAAAAGTACATAATTTTTATAGTGAGTATGCCTTTGACTTTAGGTATGTTCTTCTCTTGGCAGACTGAAAATGGGGTATATTTTGCCAAAAAGTATGAAGAACGAATCTAAGAAAACAATATGACTGAAATCTGTGTTCTTCAAAAACTTTCCCCTGAGTTTACATGTTAAAATGCAAGAATATCAACACCTCACAAATATATCTGAATTAAAAAATAAGAACAACATAGGAAAATTTCCTTTTATAAACATAGAGGATGTTGGTGCATAAATAGAATAACACTGTTAAGTGATTCGAAAGCAGTCATTATATCTTCTTCCTGGGAAGTTTATGGCTTCCATCCCTAGTTTCAAGCACAGGTGAACACGAATCTTAACTGGGAAGAGGTCACAT